TTTTATGCTATTGTACATGAACAAAATTACAAAAAATTAAAATTGTATAAAGTATTAGGAAATGACGTTATCTTTTACAACCCGATGATTACTAGGAAATATTGTTACCGTAGTGTTATTTTGTATTTTATTTGTAATTCTGTTAAATGAAAAGAATAGAAATAGGCCTAAAGGTGGTCGATTCCCACAAAAGAGAAAAAAAAATTAAATTAAATGAAAAATATTTAAGAATAACAGTTTTCAATATGTTTTTCTAACGGTTTCTGTTTCTATTTAATTAATGGCATCTCACCAAACCGGGTCTAGTTCCGGAGTGAATAAAACGTGAATAAAGATAAAAGCACTAACTCTGTGTATAGCCTACTTGGTCATATAATGCATGGCAATCTACAATTCTAGATAGGCCTATAAATTACCTTTCTACTACTAAAGTCGACCTATTATTTGCAATAATTATATATATAAAAAAGGCGCGACTGTCCTATGTTAGGGATATCGCTCTCGCCCGCCCCGCCCTTGAAGACATTGGACTCCCCGTTTGGCTAATCCTGGCGCCACCCCTAGAAAAATTGTGAATAAGTGGTAGAGGTAAAGATTTAATTTGAATTTCTAATTACCCTATGATTGCAATGCAATTTGTCTCTTTAAATCATATTGTGTATTTGATAAGTTACCTAATATTTGTGGTGTATATCATACGGTAGACTCAGTCCTTGGACCCACATTATTTTGAATTTATATTAAAATGATCTGCCAAATTCTACAAATTTCGATTTTCGTTTGTTTTCCAATGACAAATTAATTTCACAGTGTCTCAAAATAATGTCCTTACATTCTTGATTTGATCAGTTTTGCATTGTTTTCAATTGGTGTAAAGCAAATAAATAATTTAATTTTTAAACAAATAAATACATTATTTCATTCAATATTCTAAACATTGAATTACTATACTTACGGCAATTCACAATTATATTATTACCAGCGTGAGAATGTTCTTACATCTATGCTGATTTATTAATATACTTTACAATCTTAATGACATTTTAAAACACATACTTTTTGACATTTTTAAATTGAATCACTTTCCATGTTGGAATTTTATTGTAATTTCAAGTATTGTATTCATTTGTCCTTGTTTTAAAAATTCTAACTTTTATTGATATTTAATTGTTGTTTTAATCAGGACGATGGTAGATCAATTTTAGTGCTTTGTCAATTTTATTATTTGTACATTTA